TTTGAGGTACTACAGCCTCAACTTTTAGCCAATAATTTTCAACAATCTCAGGTAAGGTTACCTTTTACAGCACACTATCATCGCGAGCCTGAACATTTTCGACAGAAAAATTCTTTTTTTTTGACATTTTTTTTTTTTTGCATTCGCTTTAGCTGCTGAAAAAGATTTCATTGAAAGGTTAATTCGACAAGAAAATTTTTGAAAAGCCTTAAAAAATTCGTCTGTAACAGGAAATTATAATAGGAAAATATGGGAAAAAGTGAAAAAGAAAGGTAAGAAATGAAAATTAGAAAATTTGTGAGATTAATTCCCGGAATCGCCGGCAAATCCGCGCGATTAAAATATTTAAATAAGACAAATAAAATAAGATATTTTAATGCTAAAAGAAGAAATAATAAAATTTTGGAAATATTTTTAATGGTAAGAAATGTTTCGGTCCATTAATTCGTATACATTTAAGATTGAGCTGTCGCCATATCTTAATATCTGGACACCTGCTAACTGACCTATGCAACCGGCATTTTTACTATCGATTGCGAGGGTCTTGTTTTTCCCGTTTCCACTGTTTAGAATTGTGTGATTTGTAGTTTATTACATCAGAATACTTACGTAGAACTTGCCTTCCCGTCCTTGGTTCTCATGGCGCCCGCGATGCGATGTCTGTCTCTCTCTGGTGTCTTCCTTCATCCGAGTTTGCTGGTAATGTCGTCTGTGCAACACTGAATTAGTGGTTTCAATGACGATTTTCCAATTGTTTTGCGACATCTTGAGATTCTTGGCACCCTTTGCCCTCCCGTTAATTCCCTTGCCCTCTCATCATTTACGAGGACAACTGAAATCTGCGCAAAATCGAAGGTGGTTTCGTTTCAGTATCAGAATTGAGTTATCATTTTAATATTTTTCTTAATTTTTCTTTTTTAATTTTTAATTTTTTTAGTTATTTTTAATTTTCTGATTAATTAATCAAATTAATTAATTTTTTAATTGATTAATTGATTGCAGTAATTACAAAATTAATTAATATTCAATTAATCAATTTAATCAAATATTATTTTTCCTCTTTTAGCAACATCAGTCGTCACTGAATTTACTTAGCGAGAACCAACCAAACTACGGCATGGAAGTAAGCATTGGTCCCGTTGATATGCAGCAGCAACAGCAACAACAGCAGCAGCAGCACTCGCAAGGTGCTTCATCCTATCTTTCAGCTGAAAACAGCCCATTTGTTGGCAGTACTGGTACCGGAGAAGATGATGAACTCAGTGCGGAGCAGGTAACTCTTTTTTTTACAAATTTACTCAAAAAACATACCAACTTTTCTTACAAAGTGTCCCAGGAAAATCGGCATACAAAAATTTCCCGGGAATTGGGCATACAGATTTGATGTTATTGGTATTATTGTGCAGTCCTAAGTACTCGACCCACTTCCCTCCACTAATTCCTAACACTTCTACTATATTCTAAATAATTCCACATTTTACTTTACCTACCTCCCCCAATTAATAAATCCCTTTACCCTCCTTTTCCCTCCATTAATTTACCCTTTATAAACCCCTTCCTGAAAACCCTGGGGGTCGAAGTCTCGAACCCAACACGCGCCTCGCCTTGATACAACTAGCGCCACCAACTGGCCGCCTCGATACGACTAACGTTCTCCCTCCGTTGGATAGTTTGTGCAGCGGCCCGGCTTGTTCCACTGAAGTGAAGCTTTTGTTAGGAAAAAAAGCACTGGCACTCTCCACTGTCTTCCGCTGCTGCAGTCAAAGACCACGCAGAAATCTAATGATTTTTCGAATATGGCTATGGATATGGGAGATCGGAGGTTCGGCTTTTGCGTATGGGATAATCAGTTCCACTCAGATCACTTTTCCCGTTCGTTTCGATGGTAAATTGGTACTGATGTATGCCAGAGACACAGATTTCCAGTCTTCTGCTTACAGGCAACTCTCGGGATAGGGATTCTGGTTTCTTTTTTTCACAGGCGACAACATTTTACATGGGCTTAAGATGGAGGTTTTTGACCTCATTTTTCGAATAAAATTTGTTTAACCAGCTTTTTTAGGAAATGCAAACGCCGAGTACAGGCGATGAGCCGGATATTGAAGTTTCGAAATCGAAAAAACGGCGCGAGAGACGACTGAGATTGCAGAAACAATTCGCAGTGATGAAAACAGGAAATTTTTGGAAAATAAATGAAATGCAAAAGGAGA